GGTCAGTCTCTCCTTCTGCGTCAGCCTTGATGGCGTTCACCAAGTCAGAGGTCGCCTGAGCCAAGATTCGGGCCTGGCGCACCATCTCGCCTGGGGGGGCGGGGCGGGGCGGGGCGGAGAAGAAGGGAGGAAAGGAAGGGAGACGAGGACCGAGCGTGAGCGCTCCGGACGGATCCTGAGGCACCCTCAACCAGCCCTTCTGGAACCAGAGACCTTCCACGAGCCTGCTCTCAGCCACCCCCCACCCTGCATCCTCTGAGGGTGGCCTCCCCTCCCCTCGCTCAGGGGGGGGCTGTGGCGTGGGCCTCCCCCTCAACCCAAACCCACCTGCATCCCCCATGGAGCTGAAAATGTTCTCCGTCACGTTGAGAATGGTGTCGGTGGCCTGGTCGTAGCGGCCGATGGGCTGCCCCCCAGTGGCATGCCGCTTGATGTGCTCCAGCAGGTCGTTGAGGGCCTGGGTCACCGCCGTGGCGGCCACCCCTACGTGCTTCAGCAGCTGCTCGTCCGCAGTGGCCGCCTGAGAGGCCTCCACGCAGCCCTCCACAGATTTGGCCACCAGCTTCCCGGCCTCCACCAGCTGCTCCTGGCACACGGGGGAGCTGATGGTGGGAGCCACCACCTGCCGAGGAAGAGGGGAAGGCACCGCTCAAAGGGGGAGGATTTCTCACACCGCCAGGCGAGCCCCCAGCTCCTGCTGCCGCCACGAGATCGGGCAGCTGCCCACAGCAGGCCGGCCGGGTGCCTCGGGGCTCAGCAAAGCGCGGTTCCACAGGGGCCTGCAGCTCCAGCCCCCCCCCTGCGCGCCTGGCCTGTGTCTCACACGCGAGGCCAGCCTGCTCTGCCAAGGCCCCAGGGCTTGTGGCCACTCACCTTGGTGCACGCCACCAGCTGTGAAGTGGACAAGGCACACTGCGTGGCCGCCGCGATCACCTGGGTCTGCAGCGTGGTGTCCTCTGTCTTCTGGGCCACGTTCTTGGCCTTCAAGACCAAGGCGGCCGCTGCGCTGGCCACCGCTTTGGCCAGCTGCATCAGCATGTCCTGCGGGGGCGGGGGGTGGTGGTGGAGGGGGGAGAGTCAGGAGGTGGAGGATCTGCTTACTCTGCTGCTCATGAAACTTTCAGCAGGGAAACCTGAGCCCGCTCGGCGGCACCCCGTGGATCCCTGCCTCCCCTCCCTGCTAGCCACAGCCCTGGGCATGCCTGCTTCCCCGATGGGCTTCCCCTGCTCCAAAGGGCTGTGGCA